TTACACCTGTCATAGCAGTCGTTCTCCAAATATATTCAAGAAATATTCCTCCTTTGGTTAAGCATCAAAGTCCAGTCCTTAGGAGCACAGAGAATCTCAGGGCAAAGTAGTCTGGTATCCTATATTAAAATTTGTTAGACACCACATGGCCATCAATATATAAATTCACAGAATTCTGCATCTTGTTCATCCAGGCTTAGCCAATACTCTTTCCTTTCTTTTGGCAGAAGTTTGGGAAGATGGAAGTGATATTTATATATAGTGTACCTTGTTTTGGTTGTCCGCATTTACAGGCTGATCCTGCTTCCTGCTGTGGAGGCATACTGGTATGAAAATTCCATTGTAGCAAATCCCTTAGCACGAAGTAAAATGGGAGAATTTATTCATCCTTACCTGAAAATTTCCCTTCTTAGAATAATAAGGTCTGTAGATCTGGCCCACCCAGGAAACAAATGCATCATCCAGAAGAGAGATGGAAATTGTTGAGGTTTGTTGTCATTAGATGGAATTTACCACACACTGAAGTAGGAGACATTATTGTGCTTTTTCCTCAAAGTATATTTAACACAATCTGTAATTAGGAAAGTAGATTTAAATTATCCTGGCTGTGGGAGTTATTTCAGTTATAAGGCGCTTCAAGGAGCGGGGGATTCCCCTGCTGCCAGCCGGTGATTTAATTCTGCCCCCAAACTGCAAGCAGATGGATGTACCCATTATAGCAGACCTATGAACTTCACTTCACAAAGAAAGGAAATTTTCAGCTAAGCACAGATAATTTTCCCTACCTACAGAGCCATTCTGCAAGTTGGAACAGCATTTTAAACTTAGCAGAAAACATTGTTTTGAGGGTTGACATAATATCACAGTCTGATATAAACTGACAAAACAGGCAAGAAAGAATTAAGACAACCTTAATAGAGTTCTTGGTGGGTTAGGTTGCCTAGTTGTTAGCATCCTTAGTATTCCTCCCAGAGAGCTGATCTTACAGTCCTGGTCCTCCTTTAATCAGAGGTGCAATGAGTTGAATGGGTGGTTTGAGTCCCTACTATAGTGGTAGCGGAGCCCAGGCTCACTCATGCCACTTGGCTCTGACCCAGAACCCTAGGAGGGTCAACAGTGTCTGGTCCTCTAAGGTACCCCTGAGTTACCCTCCTTGGGTCACTTCCTACCACTGCTTTGCTCTCCCCGCTTTCAGTCCCAGATAAGGTGAAAAGAAAAGCTAACCAAATCATCAGCTCCAACTGGGCTCAGCGTATAGTCTTATTCCCTCAGGGAGGCTTCTCTGGTGCCCTTGTCAGGAGCCTTCAGGGTGTAGGTCTGTCCTCCACCCCCTTCCGAGCTGGGTTGCTCCCTTTTCAACCCCTTCTCCAGCTGGAGTATGTTCTGCAGGGGTGGAGTACCTGGGCCCAGGACTGTCCTTTAACCCCTTCCAGCCCAGTGTGGGGTTTGTCTACCCCATCACTCAACTACTCTGTCATCAACACGCACAATTGTCCCTAAGTATTGCCACTTATACACAATGTTCTGAGATGTCTTCAATAGCAAGGCAAAATTAGGTGAATTAAAGGTGGAATGGCTGCCTTAGTGCTGAATGTAGTGCTCTTATTAGTTTCATCCTATTAGTTTGTCCATGATTGCCCTGATGTAAAAGTTTTGCAGTGCTCTCATTGTGCTACACACATACGTTTATATTGACCCATATTAAAGAATAGCTCTTTCCTGACTGTCTCTGCCGCTTCTCCCCCTGACATTTGTCTCTCTTATCTATCTATCCTTACTGTCCAGCACTCATCTCCTTCCTGGTCTGGCTGACACAGATATACTTTCTCACACCAGAGCTTGGCTCCTGTTAGTATATCCAACTAGTCCAGTTCCCTGCCATCAGCTGTCCCTCACACAGTGTTCTTCGTATCCTTCTCATGCATTTGCCTGTTCCCCCATTGCTCCGGCACCCCCAACCTCCACCAATCCTCCTTTGTCTCAAGGTTCCTATTACCTTCTCCATCTCTGTCTCACTGGGTAATATTTTCCCCACTTTTTCCCCACTGTCATTACCCTTCTAACACCATGCTGCCCATACTTGGTTGCATTATATTCTTGCCCTTATCACAGTTCAGAACATATTCCACAGTGCTTCAAAGTTTCCTCTGCAGTGTTTTAAAATTTTATTTAAAAAAACAGATTTGCAAAGGATAGCATTTGAGCTTTCATATAATTTGGCACGGAATAATACAGGAATATAGTCACAACTAAAATTTATATTAAATTTAAATATGCAAATTGATCTGGAGACAAATTCATCACTCAGGTAAGTCCATTAATATATAGAGAAAGCAAGGATTTAGGAAAATAGTGAAAAAAACAGAAAAATTGGATCAAGATAAGCAAAATGGGCAGGCATGTTGGGTCTGATGGTCTTTTACTCTTTCTAAATTATCTTTTATTCAAAATATACCACAAAAGACAACATTTTAATATCGGATAATCTGAAATTGGACTCTAAAGGCACAAATTTGACAGCCTCTATTTGACCTTAGAGTGGCTAGTCATAAACACACATCTGATTGTATAATAAATTACTTTTTTATTGCAGATAGCTTAATTTCCAGCAGTCATACACCTGCAAAAGTAACTCACATCAAAGTAGACTTGAGTACATAGGTGAATACCCATATCTGTTGTCCATGTTCAGGTAGCAATATTCATTAACCTTTGTGGCTAATTCTAAAGGGCTATATTGTCCTTGGCTCTTGTGCAGATGGGTAAAAATGAGGTCTTAAAGACCCTTTCCATCTTATGTGTCCCCATTTCTGTGTAAGAGAAAATCAGTCTCTGCACTCTGGGTACAGAAGTGACTCCCTATTCGTGCTCAGGTGTGCAAACCAAACTCAGCAAGGAAAAGAGCTCAGGCCTCTCCACTAGACCTGGAGAAAAGAGCACCCTGCACTACCTTAAGGTGCACAGTGCAAGCTGCTGATGATCCTCATGGGGTTGTGAGGCTCCACACGGCCCCCAATGTAGGCCTGTGTAGAAACAACAAAATTTGGCCCTAATGGTTTTACACTGTAAGGACTGGCTAGTTTTCTGGCTTATTGCCTAATTGCTGTGGCAAAGAAGAGGGGGAAGAGTGGTTATGTCCGAGTTCTTGGGAAATGTAGTCTCATCTCACTTCTCTCTTACTAGAAATCCCATCTTAGGCTGGGAAGCAGCAGTGGGGTAGTGTTTTCAGACGAAACTGAGGCCAGAAGCGGAGAGAAATCCGCACAATGTTGTCACTGCATCTTAGTGACAGAGGCAGCCTTCAGCTCAGAGTGTTGAGGTGGCTTTTCCAGCAGCTGTCAGGATGTCTAGGGAGATGTCTCATTGGAGGCTGAGAGGTGGGTCTCCTGCTGCAGCAGAGGGACAAGAAGAGAGCGACAGAAATCAAATTTTTGTCTTGGCTTATAAGTCACAGGATCAATATACCTATTTTGAGGACTTTAATGGTAAATCACAATGTTTCTTTCACTGGGGAAATAAATGAGTGATTGATGATTGAAGGGAGAAAATGGACATTTTTTGAAATGATGGGACCTTGATTCTGATCTTGGAGCTGCATATGCATGTCTTCAAAAAGTGGAACAATACATACACTTGAGGAGTATCAGCAGCTTCCACTCAAAACTGTAGCTTTGGCAAGATAGTGTTATTTTTAATAGTATCAGTAATATGCCTGTGTTCAAAGATTCAGAAAGATTCAAAAAAGGATGTGAGTTAACTAAATGAGGGTGGTGTATTCTCCTTACATGCAAAGTCAGCAGTGTGTGTGTGATTTAAATATATATTTACGTATATGTCAGCTAGCTTATAACTACAAATACAGAATCTAGCACATAGGGACATCATTTGGATACATGACAATCTGGAGGTTGTGATTCCATAGTAAATGCTTTTTTGCTGTTTAGCAAAGACATTAGAAACCACCCCTCAATGTATTTATGGATTATAAATGTATCAGGTAATCTCTTAACTCAGGCTTTAAAACCTTGTGCCAAATAAATGTGTTCCTCTTTGGCTACTTCATTATTTTAAAAATTTTCATCCATGCCTATACCATCTGTTGCTGCTGTTTGAAGACCATCAATATCTGAAATCTATTACTGGAACTGTAAGGTGAAAACACAGCCCAGATTGTTCCCAATTGTCCTTAGCTCCATATCTGAAGGGATTCTCCACACACAGTCTCCTTTTCTCCATGCAGAAGTGGGGATCAGATAGATGCCTCTGTGGTACACGCCTTTCCCAGACACGTATGGTTTTGGGCCCACATAGAGTGGGAGACATGGAGTAGGGGTGGGCCGAGAGAAGCAGGCAGGACGGGTGCAGCTCCAATAGAGGGCACCACTCAGGAACCACAGTAGGGTGGGGTGTATTGCCAGGGGCCAGAGCCACAGCAGGGGATCTTCTAGGTTTGGGGCAGCTTTCCACGGGTAACAACCATCACTTCTCCCCTTGAGTCAAACAATTGGTGTTAATGTCAATGATGGATCCTTCGCAGAGATTTTCAAGTAAAAAAAGTCCCCTCCTATTATCTGGCCCATGATTTGGTGTGTGCATGCGCTGTGGTAAGGCAATGAAGAGAGAAGGATTCTGGTATTTAGGGAAAAAGTAAACATTTAGTTATAATCAGGCTATAAAATATTCAGTAATTTTTTAATTCACCAGTTCTGCACCTTACTTTATGTACAGGTGACAGAGACAATGTGTAAATGTGTATTTAATAAAACCCCTATTTTTTTAAGACCAAATGTGGTATCCTTACAGCAAATGTTATCCTATATAGCAGGTAAGTCATGGGAATACGTTTTCTTTCCGAATAAGGATGTAGAAATATGATTTTCTCTGAATTATCTGTAGAAATGTAATGTAAGACTTTGTCTATTCTTTAAAAAAAGATTTTTGATTTTAAAACGTTAATGCAGAATGCAAGCATTTAAACTGCTCTTTCTTTCTTTTTTCAGACTTTTATAGTATTGAATAGAGGGAAGGCAATCTTCCGATTCAGTGCCACCTCTGCCCTGTACATTTTAACTCCTTTCAATCCTCTTCGAAAAATAGCTATTAAAATTTTGGTACATTCATATCCTTTTCAAGTGGTTGGTTCAAAATGTTTCTCTTTAAAAATAACATTGCACAATTGTTTGTTTCATTATAAATATAAAATCCTTGCAGGTTTTTTTTAAATTTTATTTTACAATATAAATTTTATAACAAAGTTCTGTAGAATTTAATAGAAAATTACAACCTTCCTATAGTTTTTTTTTTTAATTATCCTTGGAATTTCAAAGATCATTATATTCCTTCAATAGAAATCTATAGAATAATTCAAAAAACATTTAGAAGGGATAGCATAATCCTGAATTCTGTAGGTTTTTAGAGTCATTTCTCTGGAATCCTGTTAATTTAATTATTATTAAAATCTATAGCATTTTTACAACAGGGTGGCTGTTGTATAATTTTGACATTCAAGTACAGTATATATTACTGATCCTCTTCTGTACTGTGAATTACTAGTACACAAAGAACTTCTATTTTTTTAAAGTTGCTAAAAATAAACCTTGTCTCCGAATTCCGAATAAGCCCTCAGTTCTGCAAACACTTGAACTGTGTGTGCCACTTTACACATATGCATAGCAAACTCAATGGAATTACTTGTGTGAGTAAAGTTTCACACCTGCTTAAGTGTTTGCAGGATTGGGGTTTAAACACCTGATCCAATTTACACAGAAGTCAATGGGAACCTTAATGAGTGCTGGATCAGGCTTATAGTGCTCCATTTAACAAAATATATTGTAGTGTTTCATGGGGCTCATCTACACAGCAGCATATTGCAGTGTATGGAGATGTGAATTGTAGATCACACTAACATGTTGTGCTCTAACTGCCCTATATAGTTCTCATTAATGTAGTCTGGGACTCCTTCAATGCAAACTAAATACCTTTTAGTTCATGCCAACAGGGTCTACACAGGACAGTTAGAGTGCAGCATGTTAGCATGCTCTAAAATTCTCACTCCCAAAGTCCAGACTGTGCTGCCATATAGGGAGAGGGAGTATTTTGTTTGTTTGTGAATTTTAGAGGCAGGAGAATTTCTGAGCACCTTTTAAATTGTTTCTCCTAAACCTGTAATCACAGAAATAATTTCAGATCCCATATATTTTATATACCTGTATGCAAAGAGTAACTGTCACTTATGCCTTTAAATATATACAGGCGATATACTACTGGTCTGACTCACTGGTGGGGTTACTTTATCTGAGCCATAAGGAGTAGTAGATAGTAGGTTCTCTGGGCTCACTTATATAAATGCAACATATTAAAAGCAGCACAGGTAGTGATGCATGTAGCTAATGTTGTTTGATACTTTTTATTATAAGACTCTGTTTTCAGTTGTTTATAACTTTACCAGACTTAAACTGTTCAGGCTGAAAATTTCCATGCCACGTGTCTGCCTCAGGGTGAATATTTCTAAGAATGAGGTTTGGGAAAAAATATGTTGTTTCACCCATTTTGGGAAAAAATCTTACAACTGTTGCATTGAGAAGTTCTAGCACCTCCATGGCTTGGAGAGGGTCATTGAACTTGGTTGTGAGCTGGCCTTTGCATCAGGAATGTGCCATTTGCTGCCCCCCCATTTGTTGAAAAACTGCTCAAATTTGGCCAAGTTATAAGGCTCTGAAAATGACAGGTCCACATAGAATATAACAGCTTTTGCTGCCAGTTAATCTCTGATCACAAGTGGTAGAAGGCTGTGCTATATGGATCTAACGAGCCCAACCCTACTGATGTCTCATGTGCAGGGCAGTATGGTTCCACATGGTGGAATCCGTCATATATGGTGGAATTGATAAATCCATACATATATGGTCACACACGCACACTGCATTTAAAGAACATTTCTGAGGTTGCAAGGCAAACACTCAATTTAGGGAATGTCTGTACAACCTTAATTAGACCCCCTTGTGTATATACATTATGGTATAGTCTTTAATTACATGATCACAAGCTATTTTTTCGTTCAATGCTCAGGATAAATGGTAGTTACCGAATGGGTAGCTCTTCAATATTTTTTATCCGCATCGTTGAGTTTATGCCTGCATGCGTTATTTAGTGCCAAGCAAGCCCTGCAGTGAATACAGAATTACTAATTTCCTCCTGAGGGTTTTTTTTGTAGTGCTCTCATTGTGTAGCACCTTAGTTCTTTACAAATATTATTGAATTTCATCTGACAACACCCTTGTGAGTGGTGGTATTGTTATCCCCATTTTACACATGGGGAATTGAGGCACAGAGATTAAATTTAGAATCATCAAAGGTGTCAGTTTTGATTGCGCAGTTTGAGAAGCCTAATGCCTGTTGTTTGTTGTTGTTGTTGTTCAGAATACTGAGCATTTTATAGCACTTTTCGTTCAGAGCAGGGTTACCATTGACTTCAGTTGCAATTATGAATACTTAGCACTTCTGCAAATCAGCCCCTAGGTGTCTCATGTTAGGTACCAAGAAAATATGAAACACACAGTGCTACCTATGAAATTTTTGGTTTATGTGACTTGCTGAGAATCACACAGAAACTCTGTGGCTGAGGCAAAGATAGAAGCCAGTTCTCTAGCATGCTATTCAGCTTCTTCAGTCAAGAGATCATCCCGTGGAGTGTGCGCTGGGAAAGAATCAGGGCCTCTGCCTCCTTTGTTGCATAAATTGTGAGGTGTGTGATCCTACAGACAACAGCCTCATTCACTGTGAAGTCCTCCTTCATACCCAGAGCACAGTCTGTCCTGTGCACCAAAGGAGTTGCACAAGCAACCTTGGCTCTGGCATTATCTAATTTTTGAGTGCCTGACTTTGCAACCTTCACATTCTTTTAATGTAGTTTTTTTATTTTTATTGTGATCTCTAATAAGTTCATATAGCTTATGTCTAACTATATAAATATAGTTGTGCCATCCTGACCATTTTATTTCTTTTAAAATCAGTTTAGCATCACTGATCTGATGAAAATAGAAATTAAGTATTCCATTGATTTGAATGAGGTTCCTAAATATTGCTAAAATAGAATATTTTATTCTATACATAAAAAGGAATGTATACTTAGCATTAATAGTATTGTGTACTTAATTATCTGCCCCATACTATGTTTTAAATATATTGATACATTGGAGCCTAGCATTCACAAGCCCTTTGAGACTACCTCCATAAAAAGACATCAAAGGAGTTTCCTGAGCATGTTAACTGGAATTCCTGGCATATATCTGTACAGTGTGTGTGAGGGGTATTCCAATGGTAGCTACATTTGATATTCTGAGTCACAGAATAACAGTTATGCTATGCTGAGATTGTTTGATAATATGACCTTCAAAATTAATGAAGTAAGCCAGTCAATAGTATTGAGACTCACTGATGTCAGTGGGAACTGGGCAGCTAAGTTCCTATGCATGACATGAATGTTTACTCTGAAAGGTATGGTCAGTCTTTACTGATTTTGATCACTTCAGGGAAAATGGTCAGGAACTACTAACAGCAGTACCAATGTACACATCAATCTAGTGCATTAAGATATTACTTTTCATATTCCCCTTTGCAACTACAGAGTGAAGTTTAGTCTGTGTTCAGAGCCTAAAAATGTGTTCAAAAGCAAAAAAAAATTAGCATGTAATTTAATTTTAAATTGCAAATGATATTTGGGCTTTTTGGATACAAATGTATTTGTAAAGTGTTTTTATACTTACAAACAGATATATCTATCATTAGCTTAGGGTGATCAGATAGCAAGTGTGAAAAATAGGGACACTTTTTTAGGGCAGAGAGGGGGGCAGCTAGAGGATATGGTTGCCTAAATAAGACAGAGCCTCTAATATCAGGATGATCCCAATAATATTGGATGTCTGGTCACCCTACATTAGCTCCTTTGATGAACTGTTTTGTAGGAACATATCTTTTATAAAAGATGAATAGAGGTAAAACATTTTCCAGAGTAAGTTTGGCACAAAGTCTAGCATTTTGTAGCTTATGGTGCCATCATGTGGCAATTTTACATCACTTTCCTGTTTGTTGTTTTAGTCTTTAACTTATTGTTAAACGCTTGGATAAATATGCTGAATGGTTAGTATCAATGGAAGTGAAAAACTTATAACACTACATAGAATCAGTAATTCTGCAAACACTTGTTGCCTTAGTCTTCTCTTTTTGTAACATTGCTGAGCATGTTGTAGTGAGGCAGCTGCAGTCATGTAGCATACTCAGGTTTCCTTAACCCCAATCAGTTTGAGTTGTAGGCCTTAGTGTAATAGGGATGCTACACTAGTTGTTCTGGTTGATGATTGGGATGAGAATCAGGTTACCATGCTGATTCATACCAGTCTTTCAGTGGCTTTCCTTACTATTGACCATAAGATGGTATTGAACTATAGTGTGGATAGAATAAGTCATACTTCCATGAAAGTTCTTTCTTACTGGCTTCTGATGGTTGTCTGTCTGAGAGGTCACAGAGAATAATATTGGGCATTTGCTCATCTGCCCCAATGGGGCGATCTCTCTTTCTGTTGGGGTTCCACAGGAGCTCATCTTCCCCGACGTGCTCTTTCTCTGTCGGGGTTCAGCTTACATTCTGCTGCCTTCCTCTAGTTCAAAATCAAATTCTAGGAGAGTTGGTGAGGAAACATAGGGTACAATGTCTTCATCAAGTCGATGACAGTGCTGTGATAATGCTTATTTGATTGTGAGAGTAAATGGAATACTAGATATTGGTTATTTTGGCTTATTTGGTGGAGTAAACAAATAGAGTTTATTCACCATTTGTTACGTAGATTTGCTACCTGATGTGGTGTTGTATTCCCAGCTGCTTCTAGTAGCAGCAATAACTAAATACCGTTTTTATTTGTGCTCAGTGATACTGTTGAGACCTTTTCTTTTAGATGTGAGTCTTGCTACAGTTATCCAGGGTTCTAGGTCCCTTAGAGACACTATCTTTATGCTCATGTAATACCGTGACAGTTCAGATCAGAGGAGATGCACAAGCTGACAGCCTCCTGATTTCACCACAAAGGAGCTGCAGGTAACTTCTTCTCAATGAGGAATCCTCAACTTTGGAACTTCCTTCCTCCCTTGGTCCAAGAGAACCTAGTTCTCTGACTTTCTGAGCATCCTGCAAGACCTGTCTTTTCGCTCAAGCTATTGAATTGTTAGAGAAGTGGGATGGGGCGGAAGTTGCTATTTATTACTGTCAACAAGCTGTTGGGATGAGGAGAGTTCATTACTTAATATTGTTATGATTTGTTACTGTTTTTAGTGTGTGCAAAGCACTGGATAGGGACAGTGTTAAAAAAATGAGTTGCTTCTGCTTACACCACAAGTGACTTTAGTGCTAATAAAGTTTAATTTACTAATGAGAAAACTGCGGGGTTGATACTATATTAAAAATATATCTGGAATTGTCACTTAAATCAATGGGATTTTTGTGTGTGTCAGAATTTGGTTGAAATTAAAATGTGTTATTAATGTGCTATTGTAATTTACTGTTGTATGTTCCTTGACTGTAACGTACATTGTTCAGCATGCTTATTATGTGCACTATTTTGACCAACTGTGTGTTTATGACCATGAGTAACCCTCCGGAATGGACAAAGAATGTAGAGTAAGTTAAACCTATATTCTTTAAATATATCCATATATCTGAAATGAATTTTTCTAGGAACCATTATTTTATTTGCAGTGAAGGACATTGACAGCACTCAGTATGTGACACTACTACTGTTTTTTTCTCTAAAGAAAATTATTTATTGTGGTTTAAATCTTCCTCTCTTAAAAAGAAAAAATTGAGTACAGAAAAAGGTGAGGCAAATGTTCATGGATAGTATTGCTCTTTCACTCTACATGAAGATTTCATCCTTATCTTCATGACGTAGCATCTTGAGAGTGTTTTATGCCTTCTGGCCAATACTGTTGATTTGATTATACTACTACATTAGTAGTAAAACAATAGCCACCTAGTTATAGACGCCAACTCAGGAAAGCACATAACTAGTCCTATTGAAATGGGACTTTAAGCACATGCTATTGTTCAGTGTTAATATTAGAGGTTTTAGAAGTTAGTGACCCAGACAATATAAAATAACTTGATCTTACCGTGTTGTTGGACAACAATAATAGACCAAGTGGACCTTAGTTATAATTTCATCTATTATAGAATTTTATTGTAAAAATCTATTTTATTTCTTTAGATTTATACAATTGCTAATAAAGAGCACCTACTTATACACTCTAGTCACCCTTGACAAGTCAAAAGTATATCACAAATAATGTACTAGAATATAAGGATACTTATAATGGTGAATAGTGTATTTTTAATAGACATTTTTATTTACTTTATTTATTCTCAATTTTTGAAATTAACTGAATCTTTCATTTGATTTCTAAGACTTTTAGCAACAAGAAAATAAAACTGTTATAAAGAATTAGTATTTGTCTCTATTAAGTTTTTGGATACTTTTTCCAGGTATACCTTCACTGGAATATATACATTTGAATCACTTATAAAAATTATTGCAAGGGGCTTCTGTTTAGAAGATTTTTCTTTCCTTCGAGACCCATGGAACTGGCTTGATTTCACTGTCATTACATTTGCGTAAGTTTTGTTTTGTTTTTTAATTGAAGAACATAAAAGGCCATGAAATTAGTTTCAGTAAAGACCCAAAAAAATTTCCAAGCTAACTTATTAGGAGTATGAATTTTCTGTGTCTAAAAATGACTTGCAGGTCATAAATATTGTAGTATTCATCTTCCAATGTAAGCATATATACTGCAGAAGCCACTAGTACAGTTAGTGTTATAGAAGCTAATTTGATGTTCTGCATTTTTCTCTAACCAGAATAAAAGGAACCCCTTTGACTATATGCTCCAATTTTCCAGTCTAGTCTAGATAAATTTTGTGCTTTCAAAGTAAAATCACTGTGGTTTGCTTCAGAGACATTTACGTTTAACTGAAGGCCATGAACGCAAATTAATGCAAGGCAAACTGCAGTGAAAGGTAAACAGCTGACTGTTGCTTTTTAATTTATTAGCTAAAATCACCAAAGAGGTCTTGATGAAAGACCCTCATAAGTAGCATAAACTCTGCCTAAATTCTGAATAACTGTGATTTAATCCTACAGGTATATAACAGAATTTGTAAACCTAGGCAATGTTTCAGCTCTTCGAACTTTCAGAGTATTGAGAGCTTTGAAAACTATTTCTGTAATCCCAGGTAAGAAGTAACTGGTGTAAGGTGTTAGGTCCCTTGTACCTCCCAACTGTTCCTTTTTATCCTGTCATTGTGTTTGTGTGTGAACTCCCCTATTACAGATATGTGACAGAGTTTGTGGACCTGGGCAATGTCTCAGCGTTGAGAACATTCAGAGTTCTCCGAGCATTGAAAACAATATCAGTCATTCCAGGTGAGAGCTAGGTTAAACACTGAGGCTGAATTTCATTCCACTGAAGCTCAATACACATTATTTTAACACAAGCCTTGTTGCTTGCCAAAAAAACAAAACAAAACAGGAATCATAAGATAATAGAATTGATTGAAATCTATGATTCTTTGCATTTTAACATTAGCTTTTTTCCTTTTGAAATCAGCCTTTGAGTTTAACAAATTCTTGCATGAGACATTGCAATTTACAGCCTGTGTGGTTTGCATCTTATGATGTCAAGCTTTCTTCTCCACATTCAACAAAAAATCAGTAATCCTGAGGTTTTCTTACCCATATGTATTTTACCAATATGATGTAATGTAGTATTTTCTATGGATATTTGTGACTGTGAAAACTAAAATTGTTTGAAACACTGATTTACTAATAAAGATAAAGGAATAAGATAATAAAGAATAGCATGGGCATCGCATGGGGGATTTATTATCTTAAAGTTCTATTATTTTCCAAACCCTCTCCAGTTTTATAACTTTAATCTGATCCCATTTGTTGTTTAACAAGCTCTTTACTATTGTTGTAACAATGCAGTATGTTAT